TCGTGTATTACACTAGTTTATAATTTAGCTCAAAAAGAAAACACGTGAAACGGATATTAAAATGTAATATTTTTGTAGGAAATTTGATTTTTTTTTTCCAAGTCAAAATAAAAATAAGGGTTGGGGTGAAAAATAAATAAATGTATGTTGTATTTATGATAAAGATAAGTTGGTTTGTGAAGATGGGGTCCCAGGAATCAAAATCATGGTCCCTCATCATAAATAGGATGTAGGGTTTGTTGTGGAGAGATGTGTGGTCCATTTTCTGCGTCGTACAGTAGTCGGCTGGTCCACGGAACATAAGATGCGCCCGATCCACTTCCATTTTGTTTTGTGCTGTATAATAAATTAAAGAACATACATATATATATATATATATATATATATATATATATAAAGGTTTTATGTAAAATTCAATCTTGTAACAATATTTGATGCTATCATGTAAATATATGAATTACGGTGTTATATATATATATATACAATGATGATGTTTTTTAAAGATTAATCCTTAATTACAAGAATGCGGTTAATAGTTTCTCATAAAAAATGCATAATTATGTTGTAAATTATTATATTTTATTTATATATAATTTGAAGTATGATATTTGAATGTGAAAGTATGTAATTTTATTGAAAAGTTAGTTGCTTATCGATTAGGCGATATATCTAATAAAAGACTAACCGTTGAATTCAGAAAATAAGTACTTAAACATAGTCGAGCCTTACCATATTAGATACATAAATGATGTTGTTAGGTTGTAAAACCGTGTGAAAACTATTTATGCATTTATATAATAGCATATCATGTTTTTATTTATATTGTATTTAAAGTGATATTTATTTTAATAAATACACTTATCTATACTTATATTAAAAAGTATCTCATTTACTAGATTTAGTATAAAGAAAAGTCAAAGGTAATTAATGTTTGCTGGAAATAGAATGACATTAATTACAGATTTGTTTTGGTATTTATAGCTTGACATTAAAGATTTGTTATGGGATAAAAATCAGAACCGATTTTTTTACCTTTGCTGGAAAAGTCAAATGTAAGTATAGATTTATTTTATTCCATAACATCGGTTTAGTTAAAAAAATCTCATAAATCGGTTTTAATGTCAAGCCTATAAATAAAGATTTAATCGGTTTTAATAAAACAGATTTAATCGATTTTAATAATTGCATAGAATTTCAAAGCTGTTATTTATTGTAAAAAAATTAAATTCCAAAAAAACATTTGTGTATATTTTGTAAATGTTTGTACAAAATGTTTTACTTTAAATTTATTTACATAATTTAAATTAATTACATTAAAAAATAATATGAACATACATTAAATATTTTAATTACATAAAACAAAAAGAAGAAAAAGATTACATCTATAACTTATAATAATAATGACATTATACTACAATAAATTTTGTAATGAAATAATATAAATATTATACGAGGAACAAGATTACGTAAAATTGTTATTTTTCTTATATCAATGAATAAATATATATAATGAAATCAAATTTATATTATTATAAACATGTGAGCGAGATAATATATTAATTAATTTACGGGCTAGCGCTACCAGACTCAGGTTTAATGTTCCGACAAAAAAATGACGTTGATGAAAAGATGTAAAAAGATAGATGATCAAACTCTATTATTTTTTAGGCCTGAACGGACAAGCCCTAGGTCCACTCATTTAATATCTCCCGTGAATCGCACGAGCTACTTAACAGATAAGTCATGTGGAAATAACTCATTAATACTTATGTCCCGTGCATCGCACGGGCTACGTGCTAGTTGAATGTTATAAGTATCTAACCATTAGATAAACGAATAGTACCCTATTTCATAATCATGAGAATGGAACATTAATTGCATATTAATTAGATTCCACCTAAGCCAATCACTAGGGTTGAGAACATTCTTTGATATCCTGAATTGGATCCTAATTAGCCGAACTACCTTTGTTTATTGAGGGGAAGAATGTGGTCATGATCCAGTCTTGAAATAAATATTAAATAAATAATACTAATAATAAAGTTGTACGAAAAAAAAAAATATTTATATATTTGATTTGTGACTTGAGAGAGAGATTTGGACTAATTGGGGATTTGGACAAAACATAACTTTCCAGTTGGTGGATAATTGCTTTAATTCTATAAGTGTAGTAAAAATATGGTAATTAATTAAAGATTTGGTTATGAGTAATCCAGGTGAGACCTACTTATTGCCAGCCTTGTACAAGTTGGGTACTGAAAAAACAAGTTGGTTAACTCGAAAAACAAACAAAAGGCAATTAAGCCAATGAGAGAATTCTGAATTTGTACTGATGAATGCTATTACTATATCAATAGGTTGATATAACAATAGTTACTTTAGTCTACTCTGATAATCAATTAAGTACTTTGGTATAAAATTTGCAATAAATAATTTATAGTTATGCTAGTTGTTAATTTTGAAGATAATATATATAACGTCTGAAATAATAAGATTATGTGTGAATTGAAATTCTTAGTATATACTGACGAAGATCAGTAGATCACTATGACAGTTCTATCATTGTTAATTAAGATGATATGTGTCATTTTGTCATTCTTAGTATATTATTTCATTTCCAATTAAAGTTCTAAGGTTTAGAATGAATTATACTAGTATTCATTATGTGTACATGCACAAAGAAAAATAAAAATTTATATATTATATGTATGTGTACAATATATATATTTTATATTAGATAATGGTTGTATTACATTTTAAATTTTTGACTATATGCAAATGTATAATGTAAATATAAATTATTTAACTTACATACGAATCTTTATATTGATGTCATAAATTTTAATGGACAATATAACTTAGTAATTTAGAGGGACCATACAATTAATTTATTAGAAAAGTATTACAATTATTTTTATTATTGTTATAGCAATTGTTCATGTGATTTTAAGGTGTTTAATTATGACACTTATGCCAATTAACTCATATTAGATAAAAATAGCTTTAAAAGACAAAATATTTTATTTTAGAAAAAGTATTTTAAAGAAAAAATTGCAATACAATTTTGTATAAGTATGTAAATTTCACATATTATTTAATGTAAAATTATAATCAGTTAGTGTTAGTAGTAATATTATATAATAAACAAGTTTAAAATTGTTATTACGTTTTATTAATATATGTTTAATTAATATAAAATGTAACGTTTCTATATTAATTAAAAAAATGAACGAAAAAATTATGAAAATTTTATTAATTAAATTTTATTTATTGCTCTGTCAGCAATTATATATATAAATTCCCTGCCGGATGGTCTAGATAATTATTTAGTTTCCTGCCTGATGTTCTAAATCATGATCACCATGTTTCCAACATTTTGAATATATATATATTGATTTTCTCAATCTCTGATCGACTTGCTTTACCTAGATGTTCTACAAAGTTTGATCCTACGTGATTGAGCTGGCTACATCAATTGCATAAAGTAATGATCTTAAAGTAACATTACATTACATATACAAAGCAGCTTACAATGATGGCAGCAAATAATATACTATACAGCTAAAGAAAGTATGGGCCAATCCCGAGATATATAGGGCCAACGATGAGACCGCCCACGGCCTACTATTACTTGAAAGACCATTATAATAAGATGCGTCCATATAAAAAAAAAAATAATTGACATATTAGTTTGGCATAAAAGAATGATGTGTATGTTTAATTGTTGATTTTAGAACTGAAGTGATGTGTAAAATAATAAGACGTTGGGTGTGTTATTATTAATTTTTGTATTATATTTTTTGTTACTGTAGCATTTTTTTTAATAAAATGAATATCTCATGACTTTAAAAATATCAATTGAATATCTCATTACGTTTTTATTTTTTATTTTTTCTTCAAACTCAATTGAATATACCAAAATTTGTAAAATCTCATATAGTCTTTAAAAGTCATGAATGAATATACCCTTATTAAAATCTATACTAACTAAAGTGGTGTCTAAATTTAATAGTTTGTTGATATAAAAAGTGAAGTAATGTGTAGACTATAGAATAAGGAAAATACTACATGTATATAATAAATGCACATTAGAGGTGTACATAACACTCATATGGAGTGAGGTCCACTTGATTTTTTATTTTTAGTGGGTCCTACTCAATGTGAGTGTTATGTACACATTTATGTATATTGCTCTTATGTATCTATAGCATTACTCATAGAATAATAGGATCGTTTGGTTTTGCTATGAAGCCAACAGTTGGCTCCATAATGAAGCCAACCTTCTATATACAACAAATAAATTTACCATATTAATAAAATTATATTAGTGTTATTTAAATAATCAGAAAATATAGTAGATTTATTTGTTGTATAATGTATATAGAAGGTTGGTTCCACTATTGAGCCAACTCCACTATTGAGACAACTGTTATCATTTCAATGTTTTTAACATTGAAAGTATCTTGAATTCCTCTTTATTTTGAAATTAAAAACATTGAAATTATTTTGAAATAATTTTCTCTTATTTGAATTTCAAATAAGTATCTCTTACATCAGAAATTAAAAACATTGAAATTATTTTGAAATTACTTTCAATGTTGTATATATCTCTTACGTTACTTTAGCATGACTCAACGAAAAAGAGGAAATTAAAAACATTGAAATTAAAAGCAGTAAAAATAAAAAGGTAGAAGCCCCAAAAATAAAAAGGAAAGGTAATTTAAATGCCATCATCAAACAGAAAAAGAGGAGGAGGAAAAAAAAAAAGATAAAAAAAATTTGTCCCCCGACATTAATTTCATTGTCATCCCAAGCCTTCATTTTCCTCTCTCTCTCTGAATTTTCCTTGACAGGTACTTTCACTTCATACCCACCCGTGCGCCCCCATTAATGCCCCCACCCCACCTCTCCAAAACAAAACACACACTCATCAATTTCAACATCACTCCACAATTTATTTTTTTTCAATAAAATAAAGTTAAATTAAAAATTAAAAAGTCATGCTACTCTACTTCCTCCTCCTCCTCCTCCCCCTTCTCCTCCTCCTCCGCTCCGCCGCCGTCCGCCGTCGCCGTCGCCTCCTCCCGCCGGGAAACCTCGGGCCGCCCCTCATCGGCGAGACGCTCCAGCTCATCTCCGCCTACAAAACCTCCAATCCGGAGCCCTTCATCGACGACCGGGTCGCCCGGTTCGGATCGCTCTTCACCACCCACGTCTTCGGCGAGCCGACCGTCTTCTCCGCCGACCCGGACGCGAACCGGCTCATCCTCCACAGCGAGGGCCGGCTCTTCGAGTCAAGCTACCCCGGCTCCATCTGCAACCTCCTCGGCCGCCACTCGCTCCTCCTCATGCGCGGCGGTCTCCACCGCCGGATGCACTCTCTGACCACCAGCTTCGCCGGCTCCGCCATCATCCGGAGCCACCTGCTGGGGGATATTGACCGACTCGTCCGGCTCAACATGGACGCCTGGACCGGCCGGGTTCTTCTCATGGAGGAGACCAAAAAGGTCATTATTACCCTTTTCTTTTATTTAAAGCAATTTAATGAAGGTGAATAAGTTAATTAATTAATTAATTGGATTTTCGGCTTTCATGGGGGTGTGGGGAGTGTGTGCTTTGAGTGCATGCGTCATGATTTCATGTTAGGAGCACTTTGGAGTTTGGAGAAAATTTATAATAAAATAAAATAAAATTAAATAATAATGAATAATTTATTAATTAAAAAGAAATTAAACGCACAAACTCATTTC